AGCAGGGGAAATAAAAGCTACATTATTTTTGCTAGGGTCATTTTAATCTGGTAAATCATTTTTGCTAGTTGTGTATTCTTGTAAATAGGTCATTTTTGTCTTCTAGCTATATTCAACCATCCTTCAAAACCAAGAGCAACACTGCAGAAACGAGATAACAATAATCTGAGTTCACTTAGTAAGACTGTTCAAATGGAAACAAAATTGTATAAATTTTATAGTGTTCCATGATATTTTGCTGAGAGGATGGCACACTTACAATACAATCTGTCTCAACTTTATAACTGTTTCAGAGTGGTGACAAAGATAGACGTCTGACAGACAACGAGACAATTTATCTTTCAAAAAGCTTTACCAATCTCACAAAAGATTACACCTGTCTCACTTCAGCATGATCTGCCATCTGTTCCTTCAAAGAGATAAGTGCTTAAACGTCAAGGTTCTGTTATTAGAAGTATCTTTTGAGAACAAGAAAGAGTTTTATACACAGCAAATTCATTTAGTGCTTTGTTAAGGAGAACATACCCATTTTCAGGGGGCAAGCATTCTAACAAGTAGAGACAATCTCCAATAAATATTATTTTAAATGAGGTGTATTTAAAAACATAGAAAAATGTAATTATGATGCACCTTAAATTTGTCTTTTAGCTTCTGAATGAATCATTACATTGTAAATTATTCTTTCATTAATCCATCTATCTGGTAAAATAACATAGATAGTTCTAAATAATAGTGGTTTCCTCTTTTTGTTAAATAAACCAGGCCAAATTTCTAGACAAAGGAAGATATTGAATAAAGTTATTTTCTTGTTTTATGAAAACCCATTATGAGACACTTTGCACCAGAGTCTGACCTCTTAAACACTGGTGTATGCAATGAATAAAACCACAAGAGTAAATGGTATTACAGTGAAAGCATAACTGAGATTAGAATCAAACATCCATGTTCACCACAGTATAATACTGGTATGAATAAAATACTGTATTCTATTGTGATTCTTAAAATGCTGTTTAGCTAGCATTCAAAATATAGATAAGCCAACTATCTCTTCACTAGGCCCAAATTATTAATGTAGAATATTTTGGAAACATCAAATATTATCAGCAAAACATGGCATTTCTGTGTACTCTACAAGTCACATAACAAAATCTGAAATCAATTCTTTCATTTTCTAAACTAACATGCAGAATAGGAATTAAATACCTAGTTTTTTAGAATATACAAGCACAATTTCTTTAGTTTGTAACCAAAGAAAGATGGTTTCACATCAATTTTCATATATGTGCAAAGGAGAGACAAATGTTATGGTTTCATTATAACTGTGAGGATGCTGTTCTACACTGATGCTCCTCTTGTAATTTTAGAGGAAGCAGTTAAATTTATATGAGTGTCTGTTTACTGTAAGTACTTAACCTCAAAATCTAATCTTAAAATCTATCAGTTTTGTTTTACACAAAAATGATAATTACATTACTAGATACAGCTTTATTTTTTCTGTTACTTCTTGTGCTACAGATTCTTTCACACTTACACAGTAACATTTGCCCTTTAAACAGGGCAAGTAACAACATAATTTATTCATCAGCAGTATGCTTCACATAAAGTGATGGTTGAATATACACAATATATTGGGAGTTCTTTAGAGCATATTTCTCAGTTCTGTTCATTAAAATATATGCACTACTGCCAAAGATTATTCAAAACATAATATGTAGTACAAAAGAGAAAGAAATTTCAGGACCTGATCCTGCATGGGTTCCAAATTGGCTTTGATAGGAGCTTCAGATGTAGATGCTGGGGTTTTCAAAGGTACCTCAGGGAGTCAGCTGCCCAACTTACACTGAAATTTAATGGGACTTGGGCACCTACCTTCCTAGATCATCTTTTCAGATCCCAGTGAGAATACTTTCAGGATTGGATTTTAACTGATGTATAGCACATAGTGATATAGATCTGGTACATATTCAGTTAATTTTTCCCTTTAAAAGTAAGATATTTTGTAAAAATTTACACTTCAGGCAGGATTCCTCTCACTTTACTCAGGCAAGTAGATCCTGATCTTGCAGTGCTTACTCATACAGCCACCTTAGGTTAGGACACTGAATAAGTACTATCTGTATGGCTGAATAAGGACTACTTACAGTTTACAAGACAAGAAAGACTGTACAAATCCCAATAAGCTAAGTCAGGACATCAGGATTTGTCCCTACATATTCTATTAGGATACTACACAAAATTAACTGTGAGAGTTCACCTGTTTTTAATCAAAGCAAACATATCTGAGCTCAAAGACTAATTAAAAAGTCATTATAAGTTTAATATATTATAATGAAAACAGGATCTGTGCCCAGAGAATAAATAAATTGCTGCCAGGAAACCACTAATGTTTGTTCAAAGGTAAGGTTTTCACTAATAAAACAGACAGTATAACAATAAATAAAAAGAAATTTCTCTCTACATTATATAATTAAAAGCACTATACATAGCATACAGAGAACTCTTTCCAAAATCAAGGTTTGTTGAAAGAAATTTTTAAATTAAAAAAAATCTCATTTTATATTAAACTAAAACAAAACAAAAAAACAAAACAAAAAAACCAACACCAAAACCCCATGATTTCTTTGATGACTACACAGCATTTGCACTTAAATTTTTATCAGTAACGATGATGGGGATTTCTACATTTTTCAAAGAAACACCAAGAAATAGAAAAATGATTTCCAAACTTAAAAAACAAAAAAAGGCATTGAAAATCCGGCTAAACAAGAATCACACAATGACTTTGATTTATCTTACAATTTAAAAACTGCACATCCATCCAATTAAGAATGGTTTTCCCTTTCTTCCTCCCATAGGTTAAGAAGGTAGAGAAATATTTCAGAGATGATTAAATACCATTAAATCAAATTAGAGTTTATTACATTTAAAACATTTAAACTTTGTTAGGAGAAATTAGGAGAAAAGCAGCATATATTTAAGGCAACAAAGTATGAGTATTTCACCTGAAGCATCACAGAAGAAGAATAAGAACTCCAAAACCAAAGCAACAAATGCAAACCAATTAAACTTCATGTATGAATCAAAGCAAATTATGCAGAACCTATAATCTTTCGTCCCATACCTGTAGACAGTTTACTATAACTGTTGCAGAAAAGCAGTAAGAACTTCTTAAGACAGAAAACAAAAAGTCTGCTTCATTTTATGTCAGCTACAGACTGCTGCAGTACCCAGTATATTTTTTTCAGTCAACTGTTACAGCCTTCCACCAGCCTGGTGACCTTTGAACTCCTCCCCCCCCCCCCCCAGTTAAAGCTACTGTGCTTGTCTCATTTACATAAGGCTGGTGAAGGCCTGCCAGCAACAAAAAGGGAATGCTGGGTAAGAAATTGTAGAGCTGCAGTTCTGCCGGAATACCTGAATCACTGGAGAGCTGGGAGTGGGGGTGGGGAGCAGAAAGAAAAATCTATTGCCACTTACATACTGATAACTCAAAAGCATATTTCCTATTGTGATTATTAGGAGGTAGATGTTTTAATTCAAGTATATTAAGCATCCACCAAAAAACAAAATCTAGTCGGAGCAGCTAGTTTCCAAGGAGACCATAACAGTCAAATACTTCATTTAAATACATGTTGAAGGCAGACAAGCAATTCTCAGCAACTGGCCTCTGCTTCTTAAAATACAGTTCCCAGATGTTTTATTTCAAAAAGCGTCTATTTCAATATGGTATTTTGAAAATCATGAGTTTAATGCAGACTCACCTTGTTTCAGATACCTCCATATGAATTAGCATCAGATACAATTGCAACAGTATTAATGTAAGGAGGCAATGTTCAGAATGGTTCACAATTATTGATCATTAGTATAATTAATAATCAGTGATAAAATGACTGCTAATCTTGGCCAAGTATAAATTTCAATCAAATGCTGTACCAAAAATGTGGATGCATGGATATTAAATTTTAAACCATTTGAACTGTTAATTTTAGAAATATATATTTCACTTTAAATAGTTAAATTTATATAAAAAATGGGGAAATGTTCACCTGGCTTTCGGAAGAGATTCAATGTTTTATTTTCTGCTTCTTTTCCTTCTTTACCTACAGACAGCATCCTCCCTATTCAAATGCTCAACTTTCCTATTGCTGAAATACTCTCTAGAAATTAGCAATTCAAATTCTTTCAGGATTTGTCACTATATGCATCTTATGCCTTTTAAAGTGGTGGAGTAATGAGAAAAACGCTACTGCAAAATCATTTAAAAATGAAGAAGTTTTAATAAGGCTAATCTCTAGACCACTAATATGGTAGAGAAACTCTGTATCTACACAGTGTATTAAGATGATCATAGGCCATTAGGATCTAAGGGATCATTTTTAAAAATAAAAAGTATTTCAACTATACAAATTAGTAACTGAAATTAATGTCTATTTGAAAAACGGAAAGTAAAATATAATCCACCTTGTTAACACTGTGAGAATTTCTTGAATGCGGTTTCATAATGAATCATTCATGTTTATATGTATATTTATATTTCTAAAAGCACCATTTTAAAGATACTCCAGAAAAAAACACTATAAAAATCCACGCTTATTGTTATATTCCAAAATTAATAATTTTTTAAATAAAACAAATGGTGATGCAACACATTTCCTATAAAAATATTGAGCTTAAAGAAATAGCAGAATAATGGATATTGCTATTAAATATGTTATAATATTTCTGTACTGGCAATAGATCCATTTTAGTATTAATTGTACTTTTACTAATTACACAGTTTTCACAGATAAATTAAGTTTGATGTAGAAATACAGTAAAATATGTGTACAATAAATCTGATGATAGTACTTAATTTATTTATCTAAATATCAAAATTATGTATATCACGCAAACTACACCTTTCCAAATGCAATAAAATGTATTTCTAAAAAAAAAGGTAGCCAAAGCACTGATTAAACTCAAAACACAGAAGCATTTTAATAATCTATAAAATAACTGACCTGTTCAAATTGTTGTTTTTCCAATCCATGCACTCTTTTTATTAATTAGGAACCAAAATAGATTGATTATCATTTTATAACATATGACATATTCACTGTCTTCCTACTTCCAACAGAATCTTCTTAAATTTCCCAGCACTGTGTTTTATTGCTGGTACCATATGCTTTATTGTTCAGCGACAAGAGCTTCACTCTGCACAAAGACTCATTACCTACTGCTTGCTGAGCAGCTTCAGTCTCACTGAGGCTGCCTATGTGATCACATGGGAGTTTTGTCTGAGAAAACCAGGCATGCCACTGATTTCACTATCTATGGATATTTTTATCAGCTGAGGTCTACCATGAGGAATGAATAACAAATGATAAAGCTTCTTTAACTCATTAAGGCAGCAAAAATTATGAAAATCTCCTCTCAACCTTTTTTTTTTTTTTTTTTTAAAGATGGAATTCTGGAGTTTTTAAAAGTAAATTATAAATTTTTGTGGTGATAATCTCACACAATGTTATGCCTCATATATTGTAGTATACATTTATATGAATGTTCTAAAGAGATAATATTCCTGTTTACTGTTATCTTGGCATAAAACTTTATTAAACACTTAGGCTGACAATATTTATCCCTTTGTGGAGATCAGAGCTACTGAATAAGTATCTTCCTCCAAAAGCGACACCGTAATTTAAACATGTATCAGCAGTCAAAGGCCTGATCCTGCAACAATCCTTACCCATGCAACTAGTCTGAATGATTTCAAATAGGACTATTCAAGTGAGTAAGGATTTAAGTAAAGTTTTCAAATCAGGTCCTGACTCTGAAGTCTTCATAATGAAGGCAATTTATAATTTAATCTACTTTTTATGGTACCCAGTTATTGTATTTTAGTCATAAACATAAATATATATACACAAACAAAAACAAAGTATGCATATTTGTTATTTACTTTGGCCATTTGGTTATAGCATTTTACATCAAGCTGAAACTTACATTTTAAAAAATAATGAAAGCACATACATGAAAAAAGATAAATGGTTAATGAGTGTTCTTAACATTATTATTACAGAGGATTAATTTTAGAACCTAATTTCTACTTAAAAAAGAGTAAGAGACATTCTCACTCTGTATAATTTAAAATGTTAACATAGTACTTATAACAGAATTCCTCAACTACTAACTTATAAAAAATTAATCATGATATCTACAGTGCAGAGGTGCAAGTTTTCTATAAAAGTAGTGCATTAACTCTAGAATTATTTACTGCACTTAGAAAATATATATGGTAAACAGGATGATTTCTACACATGAAAAATATCTACTTGTTCTCCTTTTCAAAACTCCCTCTTTAGAATACATAATTATCAGCTTGTTGCTCATTGAAGGCCCAATGTTCTTACTGAAATCAATAGAAGTTTTGTGATATAATCCCGTGGAAACAATACTGGGCCCGCCTATGAACACTGACAATCATGGATCTAATCTTTCCGACGCTAAAGACAATGAAGTCAATGGTGAAGCCCCCATTGATTCAACAGCATCAGGAACAGGCTCACCTTGTGATAAACACAAACCTAAAGCAATAGAACCAAGCGGCAGCCTCTATTTGTGAGTAATAATGAAAACTCAAGCAGAATCATGTTTAAATACACAAACAAAATAATCTGTATATCTAGTTTAATAAAAAGCATCCACATACATAAATTTTACTGCCATTTACATACTGTGTGATTAGCTGTTTGAAAGATAAGATTTGCAGGGATATGACCCAAATTTACTAATGACTAAAATAAATTAATCTGATGATGAATTGAGTGCAAATCATATTTTCTTTAAAATCAGAATTCCATTGTCTGCATTAAAAAAAAGCCACCATTTTGATACAGTAACACCACCATACCTAAAGAAAACGGCTGAGCATCCTTCAAGAGCTCTAAAGCAGGAAACACCATAGCTGTATTCATTAATAAGTAGAAATGGAGGCAGACTGCACAGGTTGCTAACGAACAGCTGGTTTAAGATACAGCTATGCCTATTTTTCCCTCTGCTAATACAATTGCTGATGTCATGATGGTAGTGTAGAGAGAAATAAACAAAAGGCAGACATTTTTGCTGCTGCATCAGTAGGAAAACAGAAAAATAAAAAGATTTTGTAGGAGGAAGAGAACAAAAGAAAAAACAAAAAGAAAAATTATTGTCACATTTCCTAGGGAACATTACACAAAACGGAATTAAAAAAAAAACAAAAACTAACAGGAGGCCAGACCAAAAATAATTAAGAAACATAAACAATTAAATATTTTAACAGGAAAAAGTTGCTTCAGCAAAAGAACAATAGCAGCAAGCTGTCTTAACACCACACAAAATACATAACATCAGTCAACCCTTTTTGTCAGATTGCAAAAAATCCCTTTGTGCTCAACAATGGGATTTCTCAATAAAGATGCTAAAAACTCTGACCCCTGTAGTAACGGGTGAGGGAGGCTAGAAGGGAGAAAGGCCCCCTCTTGATTCTACAGGACCTATCTGAATGTTCATTGGCTTTGGAAACCTGGCATTCCTTGTTACACCATGGCAGATAAGCTCCAATGAGAGTTGCCAGTTTTCTGATTACAGAAAATCAAACATCCTTTCCCCACCCCATCTCATCCTTCCTGAGGCCCTACCCTACCCCTTCTTCAAGGCTTCACCCCCCTTCCCTCCAATCACTCAAATCCTGTGTCTCCATCACTTGCTCTCTACCCTTGCCCATTTTCACTGGATTAGGGCAGGAGTTTGGGGTACACCAGAAGAATGTGGGCTCTGAGGTTTGTGAAGGGTTCCAAGCTGGGGCAGGGTGTTGGGGCATAATGGGATAAGGTCTCCAAGTGGGGGTGTGGGCTCTGGAGTAGGGCTGAGGATAAGCAGTTGAAGACATGGGGAGGGGGTTCTGACCTGGAGATGGGGTTCAAGAAGGGGTGGAGGCTCTGGGCAGTACTTATCTCAAGATGCTCCCAGAAGTGCTCAACATATCCCCATGGCCCCTAGTTTCATTGGTGGCCAAAGAGGCTCTGATTGCTTCATTACCCACAGGAGCCACCCCTCTAGTTCCAATTGGTCATGGTTCACAGCTAATAAAGAGTTGTTGTAGAGCTTGCACTTGGGACAGGGACAACGAGCAAGAGCCTCCCTGGCTACCCCTGTGCCTAAGAGCGGCAGGGTCATGCTGCTGCTTCCTAGAAGCTGCATGAAGCCAGGGCATGCAGGTAGTCTGGCTTAGCTCTGCTGCAACGTCAAATGGAATTTTAAAGGCCCAGTCAATAATGCTGAAAGTTTCCAGATTCTGCATTTTGCTTTGGAACATTTACACTGCATAGGAACACTGCTACAAACATTGTTCTTCTGCATAGAAGCTGTGGCAAAAACTATCAATACAGGGATGGATGTGATTTTTATGGCTTGTGACTGGTCAGGAAACCTTCAATGTGTGGGGATTATTTCCACCATGGGAGGGAAATGACTATTTATCCTAGTCTATATCTATTGAATACACACACTTCTAAACAGATATTATATAGCAAAAGCATAACACACCTTACAACTCAATGTCACTTCCAGAATTCTCAAAATCGGCCATATATTACAATCTACAGTTTATTGGTGTGTAGCTGCTGTGGGGCTCTGCTTTTCGCACCTAATATCTTAGTTAGATATTCAACCCAAGCTGTCATTCAGTGTTACCCTGCCCCTTAGTCACATGGGTTCAGTTGCCAATCTGAACAACCTCTAAGGTAGGGCTGAGCCACAATGTTAAAGAAAGACCAATTTGCAGCTCAGTACTTATTTATTCTACTGGTTGGATCCTGCACTGGAGGCTGTAATCATGGAAAGCCCCAAATGCAACAGAAATGCCACATTTCCATTCTATGGGGGAAACAGAGAAGCTGCATAGTTGAACTCTCTGTAAGAGCATGGTGTTAGAAGAGAGAGAACAATCCAGTGGAAGCAGTTCTGGTGGTGGCTGGAGAGCCCTGACCTGGGGAGCCTGACCCCAGGAAGCCCCAACAGCAGAATGAGGAGCCCAGGCTCCAGGAGTTTTGTCTGGGCCAGTGGCAGTGGGGCCAGCTGCAGGATGGGGAGCCCTGGCCTCGGGAGCCCCACAGCCCAGAGAGGAGCCCAGGAGTGGGACTGGTGGCCAACAGGGGAGCTTTGACCTCCCCTGGTCGGTCTGCCTTGGTCTGGCAAAATCCCTGGCTCAGGAACTCTCAGGTTTCTAGCTGCCCAACCAGGGAGGTCTAGCCTGTACTACCACAACTTTGAAATTAATGACTATTCAGATAAATGGATTGAGACAACAAAAACCAAGATTAAAAGTGAACCTTCAACTGCATTTTTCATTTTGTTTCTAACTTTTGAAAATACATTTCCCACATGTTTTCTCCTTTCCTATCTGTCACAGACTGATTTTCCCAACCTGGACTGCAAAGAATAGAGGAGACATTCTATACTGTGATATTTATAACAACAATGCAATCAGCAGTCCCTTCCATGATTGCCTAATCTAGGACAGGCTTTAGGGAGGCCATGTGATATTATTTAAACAGCAAAGTGTCAGGACCGGGGTGTGGCAGTATAAACCTAGTGGTTGGGTTGGATTGGTCTTACCTAATGGTCAGAGTCAGAGTCTTTGTGCTGGGATTAGAGGGAAAGAATCAGAACCCAAGGATCAAACAAGAGTCAGTCTGGAGCAGCAGCCAGTCAGGACATCTCTCAGTTTTCAGACAACTTCCTAAGCCTCCTGGTTTAAATAATATGGACAAGCCAATTGATAGGACTGGCCTTCATCCCATGTCAGGATCGTCATGGTTTGTGCCTTAGAAATGGATCAGTTTTCTGCTAGCTCCTCACGACCAGTAATTCTGGATGAGCAGGCCAGTGGTGGCCAGGGTATAGAAGGCTACTTAAGAATCTGTAGGGCCTGAATCTGAGAACCATGAGCTCTTGTACACAGATTAGAAATATTCATCCCTACACCAGTGCTAGCTTTAGGACAGAGGGAAGCAGTTTACACCTTCCTTTTTCACATGCTATCAGAAGCAGGTGTAGCCTGACACAGATTAGCACCTTTCTAACTTGTGCCTCTGCTGTAGTAGCCTCTATGGGTCATTGCAGTGACACAGAACTGCTGGACCACAGGCTCTGGCCACTGTTAATCTTGCTCTTTGTATTACCTTGACACGTGTCCAGTGCCATGGCCTCTTG